GTGGAAGCAGAAAATGGAGAAAGTCATGCTTGGGTGGAGTTCATGTAATCCTCAAAAAGAAAGAAGTGAGAAATTTAAAGAACAAAAGGGAATGTACGAAGGAGGCTATGGATGAAAGCATAGAAGCTTTGCAAGGACAAAAAGATATGGAGAAGTATAGTGAACAGCATTGGTAGATGAAGCCTCCTCTCCATTCCATTCCATTCCATTCCATTCCATTCCATTCCATTCCATTGGCTTACTATTTCTTATTTCCTTTATGCATTTTGCATAATGCTGTAAAGGGAACAGCATGGTAGATGTGTATGTGTATGGATGGATGGATGGATGTATTTTTGTTTAAAATTTACAAGCTAGTTCGTGAATTGTTTTGAAGGGCAAAATAAAACTCTAAAATTTAAAGAAGGAGAGGGAAATGAAAATAATTCTGCTGGCCGAACAAGAAATAGAATAGATAACGAAGATCAGTCTTTGGCTTATATTTATGGACCTAAGACTTGTAGAGGCACAGCAGATCTTATGAAGTGGCTGGGCTTGTCGATTGCAGTGAATGCATCACAAGCAGTTCTTTCTCCAGAAGGTCTGGAAGAGGTTCTGAAGCACTCAGTTCTTGTAACACTGGAAACAGCAGCATCTACCAAGGAAGGATAAAAACAGATAAGAAGGCAGTCACGACCACACGATCAAAGCCATGCCCCTTTGTATGTGCATGTGTTGTTGATACACATACAAAAGGGGTAGGCTTTGATTGTGTGGTTGCAACCACCATCTTGACTTTTTTGACCACCCCATGGATGCACCTGACTGGAACCTTAATTGTCTTTTTCTGTCTCTCTGTAGCAACTGTTGCAGAAACTCAAACTGACTATATGGGAAAAAAGATAAAACCCAGTTCACATGTAGCCAGAGCAGTAAACCCCATGGTGTTCCATTTCTGTTGGTTTTATGTGAATAATTAGGAGATTATACATCCTGATTTTGCTGGGTTAGTCCCAGGTTTAGAGGAGGCATCCTGAGCACTGGACACCAGGAAAATGTGTCAATTTCCAGGAGCCAATCCAGCTGGCTGGCAGCTATAGCCCAAGTCTGCATTTGGTGCTCACTGTGTTTGCATGAGTATCTTGAGTACTTGAAGTAGATTTTATGACAACAGCACAAGAAACAGCATTCATAGAAATGTTATTCCCTCATCAGGCTCTCTTGATAGTACCAGGCTTTTCTGTCATTCCTCAAGTACGGAAATACCTCCTGATAGAATAGAAAATGGGGACGGAAGAAAAGATCTGCTTTATTTTCCATTTTTTGACTGATAGATAAAAGGGTCTCTTCTTGGGCTACTAGATTTGGTCTGCAAGAATTAGTGTTTTCTGTATCTGTTTGCTGCCATATAGTGGCCATCTGGATGTTAGCACCCTTGATCTGGTAGCTGTAGTCTGTTGCTTGTTAGCCAGTCATTAAGAGGATTTGACCTTGACATTGTTTTATCACAGTGTGAAAACACAACAGCGAACAGGAAGCATTTGGAATTACTGGAAGATGCTGCATAATAAAGAAGCCCTTGCAAACATTTAGGTCCAATGGGGGAGGTGGGGGGGGGATTTCTGCTTGAGATTTTTATTTACATTAGTAAATGCATACAAATTAATACAACCTTCTGGGAAATCTAGTCACCTTATGAATTATGCAGTCATCTGGATTGGTAAAATGGTGCTAATTGTGCAGGAACACTGATTTAGACTCTGAGCTGTTGGGCAATTCCCTTCTTTGCAACATAAAAATTGGCTAGATTTATACATTGTGCTAAACCATAATGCAGTTTGAGTTCAATTTAATATTTGTATGATTTATGTTTTTGCACAACATGTCACTTCAGGTACTGTAGTTGTTTTTCAATAAATGTGACCAAAACAAACTATGATTTAACACTGGGCAGCATAACAGCCAGTGCCTACATCAAACTCTAGGATTGTAGCTTGAGAGGCAGTTGTTAAGAAGTTTATATCTCTTTAAAACTACAAATTCTTGAATTCTGTAGCTCCTGATGGCATTTCTTATGCAACAAGAGTTCACAGCATGCAGTAACCAACTGGCGGAAGGGTAGAGGTCCCAATAGTTAATGATAATGAATTGATCTGATCCTGAATCCCAGGGACAGAAACCCAGATGTAAAAGATGCTTGATATGAAAGTTAATAAGGAAACATATGGGCCATTCCACAACATTTACCAATAAATACATCTGCAAGGAACTCAGAACAAAAAGAAGGTGCAAAGTTACATGGCAAGCCATGCTCCAGTTCTTGACTGACCAAGACTGTAGCAAGCCACACCAGCCAACCACCCTCTTCTAATGAAACCATTCACTGATCTCGGCCACTGAAACAACCTTCTCCAGTAGGACTTCTTTTCACTCAAGCCAGGAGGAAACTGTTTCTTCAAGTGAGCCGCATTTTGTGAAACAATAGATTGAAGCTAGATAGCAGACCCTGTCAAGTGCTCCTATGCTTCCTCATGGTGGGGGGTGGAGGGGGAAGGTTTCTGAGAGGGATAGCAATGAATGCTGCGAGTGTATGGCAAGAGCATATATTCCCAGCAGGGTTACCCAAGGTGTGAAAGTCATTCCAGTGACCAGCTATAATAAGCAGGCAGCTATATCAGGCAGCAATGAAAGAAGATGATGCTGGAGATGGGTGATGAGTTTAGTAACAATGGCAAAAGCTTCATTTCATAGTGTGTTGGATGGCACTCAGCATGCTACTGAGGAAGAGTTGAGGGTCTTTTGGAATACTAATGGTGCTTAAGATGTGGCTAGATTAAAGTCAGGACATCTAGTTGCTGATGTTGCCATGCAGGAAAAAATAATCCAAAGATGCAGAGCTATAACTGCTATGGGAACATGGACGGTAAGAAGCATGAATATGGGAAAGCTCAACAGTGAAAGATGAAATGAGTGAATTACACATTGGCATTTTAGGCAGCAGTGAATTGAAATGCACTGGAATTGGACATTTTCGGCCAGGGGATTGTATTAAGGACACAGAAACAAAAAAGGAATGGTGTTGTTTTCATGGTCAGGAAGGATATAGCAAGGACAGTACTTGGGTACAATGCAGCCAGTGACCAACAGATATAATTTACGCGAACATTACATTCATGAACAACCGTGTAATATGGTGATTATCCAAGTTTATGCTCCAACCAGTGATGCAAAAGAATAAATTGATAATTTTGTAGTCAACTTCAATCTGAAACAAACAACATGCAAGCAAGATGTGCCAAATCTGGTTGGAGACTGGAATGCCAAAGTTGGAAATAGTAAGAAGGAAAACATAGTTGGACTGTATGGCCTAGGAACAGAAGCAGGAGAACAACTCACCACTTCCTGTCAATCCAATGATTTCTTCATCACTAACAATACTTCAAGCATATACATAGACATCATAGGACAGAGTACACAGAAATCAAACAGACTATATTATTGGTACAAGGAGGCAGAAGAGCTTAGTTATATACATATATGTTTATGTGTGTGTTTCTATGTATATCTATATCTATCATCTATCTATCTATCTAATCTCCAACACTACAGTAAAGATAAATTTCTTTATATGTGTGACTCTGAACATGTATTTGAACTTCTCTGTGTTGTAGCTGAGGGGAATTTCTGAACTTTCTGATATGGCAGGGAAGAGGGGGTGATAAAGTGTCTCTCAAAATAAAAACTAATCAGAATTACATACCCAAAGTATTTTGTTGAATATCAGCCAAAGCACATTAGTTGTGCCTGGCTGCATGCAGATATGAAGTGGATGTATTTCATATTCCACAAAACAGGCAGTTAAGGGCTGGAAGCAACTTCTCATCTTGGAGGAAAACCTAACATTTGCATAAGCTGTTCTTCAATAGTCATTATACATTTCATTTCTCCCCATGTTCTCAGTAAAGAACTAGAGAAAGATGGCTTCAGAAAAACCTGTGTGAGAGAGTGCAGAATGTGAGGCTGAATAAGGCTTCATTCCCTCAGTCCCCCAGAAACTGCATGTTTTGAGTGGATGAACTGAAGTCTCCCATTTTTTCTTCCCTCTCTCTGGAAATATTAGCAGCCTGTCTTCACAAGTATGAAAGAACACTATGAGAATGGATAGGGTAAGAAAGAAAGGGGCCAGCCCAAGACAATTCACCTGTCTGAGTCACAGGCCAAAGGCATTCCTTCCTCTGAATTTCTTTTAAAGCTGGCAACCAGGATAGCTCATGGCATGTGTGACACTAAATTAGTTTGGAGGACTCAGGACAGATCATATGGCATAACATAGCTGCAACAGAGAAATCCAGGGCTTGGTTGCCATTGTTGGCTTCCTCCCATCACCAGCATTTGCTACCTGGAGGACTTAACTCAAGGTAGGTAGTGGTAGAGGTGAACCTGCAAAAGAAAGATATATTCATGTTTACTGCTGTGGGCATGACGTGAGGATGTGGGTGTGGGAATATAACAGAAATATTCTTACATATATATAATGATAAAAAAGCAACCATTTTAAAGAAATGCCTCACTTTATTAGATACTTTTTGTCAAGTAGCAATTCATTTTACAAAGCTACTATTGGCCATTTAAGTTCACTGCCCAGAGTCTGACATGATTGATTAATTAATTAAATCAAAATGTTCTGTAAACAGGAAAGATGAAAGGTACTAATCCATTCTCTTCCCTTTCAGCTTATAAAGAAAAGATGAAGGAGCTTTCTATGCTTTCTTTGATCTGCTCCTGTTTTTACCCAGAATCTCGCAACATCAATATGTACACATATGATGGTAAGTAGTTTTCAGCAGCAATTGTTTTCTTTAGTGAAGGGCTGTTTGGCCTTCCATGGGAGATGCACGTTCTCCTCTTGTTATTGTTATTTAGCCATGATTTCCAACCTGGAACTTACCAGATGTGTTGACTTCTGTTCCCCGTGCTGTAAGACAGCACAGGATTACAGAAGCTGAAGTCAAGTATATTGGAAGGCACCATGTTGGAGAGATTGATTTAACACCTGATTAAATGTAATGTTCCTGTGGCATAAGTAGGAAACCTTTGCATTGGTCACATTTGGAATTTTGAGAGCATTTCATGGAAACACTCACAGAGTGACTGTCATGTTAATTATGGGTGATTACAAAATTCCACCTAACAGAAGGACAACTTGGGAAGTTGCTGGCCATTCACACGCTTCTAACCTCCTGGTGTAACTTTGTAGATGGAAATGCTTCAAACAAAGCACTGATCAGTACCCATTCACTATTTTTAAATTTTAAGGGTGCCTGTGGGGTTTCTGATGAGTACTTACTTCTTGTAAATAAAAATGATGCTACAGGCTAACACTTTGCTTTTCAGCACACCAACTTTCTATTTAATTGTTGGCTTTAGAATCAAAGAAACAGGGAGCTTGGCAGAAGCCAGTGGAGATATTTGTGAGCATAAGGGCTCTAAGGGTCACCATTTGTCCTAAGAGAGCATTAATATTAATACCATACCAATAAAATCGTATTACTATCCTGACATATAAAAATATATTTTAGATACTTTACATTCAGTAATGCAAGATGGCTTATATTCAGTTTGAGAAGTCTTAGTTTTCACCATAACTTTAAAGTGTTTTATAATATACTAATTATTACACATTTGCATAAGCTTCCTAACTGATCATGCAATTTCCAGAGATGGGGAAATATATTACCTATTCAATATTTTATGTTTTGATATTAGTCTCATTAAAAGGTTAAAAGCTATAACTTCTTTTCCTCTTAATAATATGGTGTTATATTAGGAAAGCAGAGGGCACAATATAAACTGACATTCATTTTAGACATCGTTAGTATTCTTTTGATCTGTGCAAAATCACACACCTATATTCTTGCAGTTAAACAGGTACTCCGTTTTCTACATTTGTTGCAGATAATTTTTTTCACTTAACTCTGAAATCATCTTCCCTCGTGTTTTCTAAACAAGAGATTTGCAGATCTGTTCCTAAAACATAACATCCAGGACCTAAAAGATTTACCTTTTATCTTTGATTTCGTTACTGTAGTAACCACAGATCTATCTGTATTCCTAGAGCCCCAACAGGCCAAAAAAATTGATCTTTATTTTCATTTTGATGGGTTTGAGGTAGATTAAAACTCCAAACTCTTAGTAATTGCATCAATTCTCTCCAGTTTTGAGAGAGGTTTTAGTGACTGAATGGGGTATTAAACCCCTGGAAGGACATCAGTTCTATACCTTAACCCTTCCCCCCCCCCCAAAATAGGTCCAAAAATTTCAGCCCTATTACATTGATTTCAAACTAGCAGTATCGATGTCTTCTGTGGCTCTTAGGCAGAGAAAAGCACATTCTTACAAGCCTAAAAAGATTGTGCAGTCCTCTGTTATTAGTATAGGCTATTCATATTGTGTACTGCATTTTCTCTAGCACCTGTTTTAGTGAAAATAAGTCATATACCTCACCTGTGGTCATTACACTTTCATGAATTCTCAATTACTGATACACCATTTGAGTTAGATATTTTGACTTCACCTTCACAGATATGGAAGTCAAACATATCAACAAACGTGCTTCTGGCCAAGCTTTTGAACTCATCTTAAAGCCACCATCTCCTATCTCTGAAGCACCACGGACTATAGCCTCCCCAAAGAAGAAAGATTTGTCCCTTGAGGAGATCCAGAAAAAGCTGGAAGCTGCAGAAGAAAGGAGAAAGGTATCTAACTATATATATATATATATATATATATAGGAGAGTGAATGAATGATGATATTCCTGGGGTTATTTTAAGGTTTCATTTGCAATCTATGACATATGTGTGTTATTGATGTAATTTTTTATCAGTGTCTTAAAGGTCATCCTTGAGTGTTCAGAACTGAATCTATATCTGCTTCATTTAAGATCTGTACAATGAGATCCATGATTGAAAACACATGAAATTATAACGTAAGATCAGCCAAACACCTGAGAGTTTCAGTCTTAAGAAACGGGCTCACTGATCACATTCTGGAGGTTTTTTTTACTTGCACATCTTAATAAAAAAAAAACTTGGATTATCAGATGCATGTGCCTTTATTACATCTGCCTGTAATTTAGAAGCATGATCAGGTTGCTGAGATCCTAGGCCAGAATTATTTAAGCTAGCAAAAAAAAAAAAAAAAAACCTTAAACCAAGAACACCTTACCAAAGAAAATAGCTTTAAACGTGGTAATTGATTTCACACAATCTTAGAATTAAACCTTTCTCTAGTAATTACATTAGTGTTTATTAATCATTAGTGTCAGCCTCTTGCACAAGTGTCAATAGCAAATTATATAATTGAGAATCCAATTATGCTCCTAGATCTCTGGCCATTTATCATCTAAGGCTGTTACATTCTCCCTTTTTTCCCTTTTTAACTTTTTTCATTACTTAGACATAAATCATATTTTCTGATCTATAATCGTAATAAAAGTTTTGATTTGATTTGTCATAAATCATTGTTCTATGCATAGAATCCTGAAAATAAACAGTAATTTATCCAAGGTGAATAATATTTATGGAAGGTAATTTTGGTGATGGTGTATAACAGAGCAGCATTTTGCCATTCCACTCCATTTTTTTCTAAATTTTGGTCTCTTGAAATCTTTACACACCCTGAATATATGAATACTTTTCCTCAGAGCTATTTTTGTAGCCACCAGCACATTCATGGAGTAGGCAGGACAAACAATTTTGGCCTTATTTGTATTGGGGGGAAAAGCCTAAAAGAGTTTATCTTCACAGGTAATATGACCCCTAAGTACCATCCCTCCAACCTCCCCCTAAAATCAGGATGACCTTTTCTTTCTTTCTTTCTTTCTTTCTTTCTTTCTTTCTTTCTTTCTTTCTTTCTTTCTTTCTTTCTTTCTTTCTTTCTTTCTTTCTTCCCCCAGTTTGGAGATTGAATAAAGCATTCCTATTGTCCCTTAAAATCCTCCAGGCCTCCCAAAAACCAGGGAGAGAATTAATTCTATCCAGTCCAATGAGTCATGATGCTTAGGGATCATACTTCCTATGGTCACTGGGGGACCAGAGTACAGCCCAATCTTTCTCCTTTTTCTGTGAGTTCCCAGTTTTCAATATGAGACAAAGATTTTGAAAAAAGGCGGCATTGGGAGAGCAGCCTTAATGACTTGTCTACTCAGAGTGTACATTTAATCTGAATTTATTGGGTTTAGATGTAACATATTAATTTGTACCTATGCTAATATCTGCAGCTCATGTTTATTTTAACTGTTGGGGTTTGGGAGACGGTGGCACAAAATTTTTCTACTGTTGGGGAACACAAGGCATTGCTACCCATGCATTTTTGTGGCATGAAAGTTCTCGTTAGAATTGTAGGATATTGCTTTCCTGCTGTTTTGCTGATATGTCTGAATCAAATCCCAATGAAATTCAGCTGCCAGAGATTGTATCAGCTTTATTTTCAATCCAGATCTTTTTGAGAATTTCTAAATTTAAAGTAGGAAGCTGTTTAATCTTCCCCTCCCTGCCCTTATGGTTCAAAGAAGAAAGAGAATTTTCTGCTATTCACATAGCAAAATGTTAAAATAGCTTCCTTTAAGCTGAGCTCAACTCCTGGTAGTTTCTGGTAGCTTTTTGTCCTGATCCAATCCTGCTTCACCAGTACTGCCACTGAACTGGACATACAACAAAAGCAAGCATGTTAATTGCATGTCAGAGCAAGATCTTCTAGCCTGTGGGATTCCTTAAGCATTTGGCTGGCTATTGAGAACAGAATATTTAGATGAAGTACACCTTTGATCTGATCCAGCATGGCTTTTCTATGTCTTTAATTAATACCATAACTAAGTTCTTAATCCTTAATCATCACATGGGTTTTCTATCATGTCCCTTATAAGCTCAAAACCTAAATCATTACTTTGTGACTTTCAATTTGATTCTAATAAAGATAGAATAGTACTACTAAAATTCTCAAAGTTTATAAGGTTGTTCCCACTGTGATAGTTTGAAAACAAACAAACCCTGAGATATACCAAAGCTTTTATTTCCTAAAGCCACTCAAAAAGAATTTTCAAAACTAGTTGCAACTTTTAAAAAATGCTATAATAATAATTTGAACTAATTATAGAATTGTAGCATCCTATCTCAATGCAAAATTTTAAAAGGCCGATATAATCTATATTCTGTATACAATATAAAACTAATGGTAAATTACTGGGGTGGAGTTTATTAGTAATAATATAATTTATAGATGCATATTTCCTGAGTTTTTCTTATTCAACTATCATAAACAAGTACGTGGAAGTCTCCATTGCTAGATCTTTGACTGGTCTAGTAAATTCTTTTGAAAACACAAAAACTTAATATTTCATTACTGACTAGAAATTTATATTCATTTTTTCTAACCCATACTAGATTTATAAAATGAATGTTGGGTTCTTTAAGATGAATTTATAATCCTAATACTTGTTTTTTAACCCAAATACTATTCTCAGATGTGAAAAGCTGATAAGCTTTACAACAAAGAAAAAGTTATAGAGACTAGCATCACTTATCACACTTAACCTTGGTAATGAATTAATCCATTCTCTAGGTTTACACAGTACATTGAACTATAAACTAATCAAAAGTTTGGCTCCAAACAACAGGCTAAACCACACACATACAAAAAAGCAAAGTTACACCTAGCCAAGCTTAACATATTCCATGTGTGCAGCCACTAGGGTAGTGTTTCTCAGCCTTGGCAACTTTAAGATGGGTGGACTTCAACTCCCAACTCCCATGCTGGCTGGGGAATTCTGGAAGTTGAAGTCTACCCATCTTAAAGTTGCCAAGGTTGAGAAACACTGCCCTAGGGCTTTAACTGACTTGGTTAAGCCTGTTGGATGAACATGCCTATTGAGTGTGACCAAATGCAAGAGACTGGAGCTTCTGTGCCTTCAGTAGGTTTATTCAGAGAAATTTTAATTGATATAGCTTGTCACACAATCATAGAGAAACTTGTACTTGCCAAAATTTCCACTTCTGCACAATTTGTCATCCTTTCTCTCTGAACATTGGAGACAAACTGAAATTATTTTGTTTTTTCCCAACCTGCTTGAATATTTTTGTAATTGATTGCAACGCTGGCTCATTTTTTTATTTCTCAACTCTACACAGTCCCAGGAGGCCCAGGTGCTGAAACAACTGGCAGAAAAGAGAGAACATGAGCGAGAAGTTCTTCAGAAGGCTTTGGAGGAGAACAATAACTTCAGCAAAATGGCAGAGGAAAAACTGATACTGAAAATGGAACAGATCAAAGAAAACCGTGAAGCTAACTTAGCTGCTCTTATTGAACGTCTTCAGGAGAAGGTAACCAGGCTGAGTATTGGGGTTAGAATGTGACTTGTTGGGGGGGGGCAAACCAAAGTACAAAAGGTAAACTCAGATTCAGCCAAACAGAGCTGAGGAAGCAAGGGAGAAACAGGAGTTCTACTCAGGTGTTGAGCAGGGATGTCTCTAGTAGTAGTGTTCTAGTCAGGTAAGATTTTTATTTATGCTGAAGTGAATGCAGGAATGGAACCTCCTGCCAGCAGGTTCAAAGATGTCAGGATGGCCACTCTGACCATGCAGTCAAAGTCTTGCCGCTTTGTTACATACATCTGACCCTCCCCATGATCCCGTCCCTTGCTGATTCAATATGGTTCATAAAGACTGCATCCCTCTTGTATATTGAATTCAGAATAATGCCTGAACAGGTCTATGCACCCTTCTCCAGCCAGTTGCCCTCTTAAGTATCTTGGTTTTCAGTATCTAGAATTCTGGAAATTCTTGAAATTGAAATGTAGCACATCTGGAGGGTACCAGGCTAAGGATAGCTGAATACACTTCAATAATACAATAATACAATTCAATAATATAATTCCTGAACTGTATTAAAAGCTGTATTAATAGCATAAATATGTCACCCTCTCCCTTCAGGTGGATAAAAGGGATCACAAATATATGGAGATTTTGCCTGGCATGGAAGCAAGATCATGCATGCAGCCCTGACCCTCTCAGCCATGGCTCTCATAACTTTCAACTTACTTCATTTCTATAAATTAGGCATTTTGAGCATGTAGACTAGCCCTGTTTGGATGGTTGCCTGCATGTCTGAGTGCTAAAACTGAGGAATTGCAGACATTGCACACTAGTTTCATTCCTGTATACATTTTCCTTGCACACACTCTGTCCTTGACTTTCATGAATTTGGCTTGAAGTAAGCCTTTATCAACATTCAAGTGAATATGCTTAGAAGCTCCCTCCAGATTAGCAATTTTCATAAATCAGTTATGTGATTGCAGGGACATTTCCAAGCATACATTAAATTCAAGAATGAATTGATGTGATGTCACTATAGGGCTCACTTATGAACCTTGTACTCTTCCTTACTTTAGTTCTCAATTATTTCTGTGAATACCAGAACAGGGTGGCTATACAAATTTGTGGGCACAAATAATTCATTTATTAATTTACCAAAACCATTTAGATAACTCCTTATTCTGGAGAAAGAAATATGCACATAATTTCACATAATGCAGACTTTTAACACACAAACACTTGTCCAAACTTCTAGACTCTGCAGAGGGGTGGGGTGGACGAATGACTATGACATGGCAAGACAGACCACATCTGCATCTCATCTCAGGATGCAAGCACACAAGGCCTAGTTTTGTGTTGTGAAGTTGCAAAACACATTTAGTCATTCTTCAGCATTCCAGTTGGCACTAGATGCCTGTGTTCCAACAGTTCTATTCAGTTTTTATTTTATTCAGTTCTTTGTGAAACAATTTCAAAATTACTGAAGAGTACGTTATGAACCAGTTTCAGAACAGCACTTGTCCTGAAAGAAAGGGGCAGGAAAGTAGTCTCCATAATTCTCTTTTTTCCTTTTCCTTGCAATCTGCTCTCTGAAGTCATCATGAATCAAAGTGCAAGGGTTGTATCCTGCTTCATTAAGGATGCTTCTTTGATAGCCCAATTAGAAGTAAAATTCATGGCCAGATCTTGTTGTCATTTAACATTCTTTCTGAAGAAAGAGAGCAAGGCAGATGTTAAACCTGTCTCTACTTGATTTTTTCCCCATCAGGAAAGGCATGCTGCAGAGGTCCGCAGAAACAAGGAGCTCCAGGTGGAACTGTCTGGCTGAGTCCAGCAGTGGAGGGAATGGGATAACTCCCCTGCCTATATTATTACAGATCATGAAATATTAGTATAGGAAATGTATGACATGGTTTAAAAAAAAATGAATCAAGAACTCAATAAAAACAAAACAAAAAAAATAAAACAATGCAGTCTTTGCAGAATGATTTGCTTGATGTTTAAAATTAAAACTTGGATCTTATTTTGTAAATACTTACATTTTTGTTAAAAAATACAAGTATTGCATTATGCAAGTTATTTCATAATCTTTACACGTCCTGTAACAGGCTTTTGATGTTGTCTATTTTCATTCAGTTAAATTTGTTAGAACTTTGCTATGAAGTTCTTTGCAGCAAAATCCATGCCGAACTGTATACTCATTCTAACTGAAAACCAAGTCAGTAGAAGGTCTATGGTGCTACTGTCCAGTCATTGCTTAATAACCTGGAAAGCTTTGCAATCAATAAGCGGAAGTCAATAAGCAAATTACAGGTAGGCATTCTTATTTGATTAAATGATCCAGAAAATGAAGTCATAGAACATTAAGAAGTCATAATTTATTTACAACCCCAGTCTTCTACTATAGAGAAAAGAGGGCTGCACGAAACAGAAACAAGCCCCACAGGGTTCAGTGAAATTTATCCCCCAAAGGATCTAAAGGAGAAAGCCTTAGAGCACACCAGAATTTTTTTCTGGGTAAATATGCATAGCATTGTGCTATAAAACAGTATTCACTAAAGCTGTATGTCTTAAGTTTAAAAGAAAAAACGATTCTCTGTTTCCAAAAAGAATTTTCTCAACAGGAAGGCAAATAGATATGTGATTTGAACTTTTTTCTTTTTTTAAAAAAAAGGCATTATATGCAATAGGGAATGAACAACCATATTTGTTCGAAAGCTTTTTTTTTTTTTTTTTTGAAAGGCTGGATTCCAAAATTGCCCAGTTTCAGATTCACTGCTGGAGAAATTCATGGAGTTTATAGGTATAGAAACTGCACTCAGTTTCCTTATCTTAGGCTCTAGCCTTCTAAAACCTGGTGTACTCCTGTTGTGATGGCACTGCAATTCCTAAACTGCAGTTCTAGATGTTCCATAAACCCCAACGTATTTGAAGGGTATCAGTTTGGGAAATAGGCATACAGTCTTGTCTCCAGTTGCTAAAAACCTGTGAAGCAACCAAGAGCATCTTTGCAGACAGAATTCCAGCCTTAAGCTTTGTGATTTCATTCAAGCTTTCTTTTGTGAAAGATGTTCTGTGTGCTATTTTTCATCCCAATTCAGTGAGCTGGTCTTAATCCTACTGACTTCTGCTCTACAGTGTTAGTCTGTCCTGCCTACTTTTAAAATACTATCTAAACAATGAGGGCTGAAGCAGTCAGGATGGCTAGCCGAGGTGCTTGTGTCAAGTAGTATCACCAAACTCAACACACATACTGTCTGAAACAGCTGCCAGCTTGAAGGTACCCCAAACTCTCCTGGAAATTGCTGCCTGCTTATTCTACTCTTCATTAGTGCTATTTTCCTGTATGTCATTGTGAGCAAGCTGTGATTAATAAAGAATTGGAGTTCTGTGAACTGAAACAGGAGTGGTCTGTTGTCTCACTTGATCCATCAACATAACACTAATAACTAGAGTTATTAGAATGACACTGTTATTCTTACCCTAGATATCAGGTGTTGGTTGTTTTTTTTTAACATTTCACTACTTTTCTAAACTCTAAATAAAATGTGAGTTATCCTTTCCAGTATAAAATTTGACACATGTGGAATAGTAATCCCAACTGTTGGGTGAGATTGAGCAGATATAGAATAGCTTAAAACTGGTAACAAACCCCAAATATTGGAAATCTTTCTGTAGGCAGAGGAAATATAAAACTGATTCAGTTTCAATGATTAGAAATACTTTTCAAAATTCTGCATAGTGCTACCAGGTTGGTCTTTTGCATTTCTGTTAAATGAAGGTAAAGCTGATAAAGAGCAGGAATGTCTATTTAATAGAGGTGTAGTGTAGTCAAAAGATCATTGCACAAGTCAGGAACCAGCACAGATGCCATTTTAGCACTTCTGCTCTGTGGCCCAGACATTTTTGAACAATATCTTCCTTCTAAATTAATGCTACACCACCTACGAGTCACTGAACACCCCATTCAAACTACTGCATAAATCTATTAATGGAAGAAGAAACGATCACTCATACTCTCGTGACTTTCTGCTTGGACTACTGCAATGCACTCTACATGGGGCTGCCCTTGAAGAGCACTCAGAAGCTTCCACTGGTGAAGAATGCGGTGGCATGGGCAGTTAATGATGCCAGTTATTCAGCACACATGACACCAGTCTGCTTTTAGGAGCAGTTCAAGGTGCTTGTAGCCACCCTTAAAATGCTACACAGCTTGGAGCCAGGTTACTTATGTGGCCATCTCTTCCCAATTGTTTATACCCGTCTGATCCATCAGGAGAGGCATGTTGCTGGTACTGCCAGCCAAGGAAAGTTGGCTGGTGGGGCCCCAAAGAAGAGCCTTTTCTGCTATGGTGCCCATCCTCTGGAACATCATCCCTCCTGAAGGGGGAAGGGCACTTCATTACCAGATGTCAGAAAGCTAATGAAGTAGGCACCAAGCATGTGTCTCTAGGAAGGGTATTCCAGAGCTAAGGGGCTATCACTGGGAAGGCCAAGCTCCTGGCAGCCATTCACTGCATCTCAGAACAAAAGGGCAACCAGAGCAGACCTCTGAAGAAGATTTTAAGGTATGGCAATCATACAGAAAGATGCATTCCTTCAGATACAGTGGTCCCAGGCAGTTTCTTCTTCATCTTTCCTGCCTTGTGGTTTAGAGAACTGTGAGGTTACTCTTTGGGGGGGGGGGAGGAGGAGGAGGAGGCGGAGGAGGAGGAGGACCCTGGAATCCTACTGAACAATGCTGAAATCCAGGATTTTAGTCTTATTAAAACTCCAGGTTCCCAACTTTTATTCAAGAAGAAAAGAAGCTAGCTAGCCTTGTGACCGAATGGTCTTTATCATTCCTCCCTGCCTTGAATGAGGAGAGGGGTTTCTATTCACCCATTTTGAAAGAGGGTAGGACTAGCATGTTGGGGCTGTAAATTTCTGGACTAGAAGGAAGCAGTGGGATAAAGAAACTGCTATCTAATGATCATTTGCAGTTTTGCAGCCCATATAGCCCCAAAAGAGGGTAAAAACTGGGGGAATGAATTAAAGCACTAGTGTTAGCTTACAAAAAATTTTTTTACTTCATTTGCACATCTATATTTGTCATGTTCCAAAAGACGCAGCCTGTGGGAAGCACTCTTACAACTATCAGAAAAAATAGATAACCAGTACAAAGGGCTGTTCATTTCTATAAGATGCGTTTCTATTTTCTTGCTATCGCTACGTATCTGTGATGAAAATAACCACTGCTGCTGGTAAGTCTCAGCTTCTGTCATCAACAACTGGGCAAGCAAACAGATTGCAGTTTCCAGATTTGGAGGCTGTATTTACAAACACTCCAGTAGTTGGGGATGACTTAAAGTTTGGAAATGGAAGAAGTTTGTGTCTCCAATCTTTTACGGATTAATGTTGTCAAAGCAATCAGCAAGGATTTCATGTTAGACTAGGAGGTCCAGATGAGCCTCTTTGTACATGAAAGGGGTGATGCTGACAATAAATCTGTAGCTGAAAAATAGAACTTTTTTCAAGGTCTGGAAATAAGACCACAATATAAATTACAAATGTGTGTTCCAGTACATGCAGTTCTTTCTTCCTTCCTTCAAGTCAGAGTTAAAATTCCTTTGGAGGAATGGAACAATAGAATTCAGTAGAGTTTACTTCCATGTTAACTTGTTGCAAGAAGACACAATACATAATCAGTGGTAGGACTTACAGCTGAATAAATAGGTTTGTTTGGAAAGTAATATTCAAGTTATTTCATAGAAAAATAACAGTGATTAGATTAACAAATTTAGAATAATATACAAGGTATCAAAAATTAAAAACAAAAGGTAAAGCAATAGCCTGAAATCAGCAGCAAGACAACCATCAGCACAAATAAAATTCGGAGAGAGAGATCTTGAGTAACTGGTGGAATTACAGTATTGAAGACACTGGATACCCCTCCAAAGATAGGGAATTTCATACCCAGAGTACCACACCTGAATAAGCCAGAGTTCAGATGATCACAAGCAAGTCCCATTCCAAAGATGTTAGCCTGGACTGGTGCATATCAGAAGATACTTTCCATCAAATGCTTGGTCTCAAACTATGTTAGGACTTATAAATCAACAACAAAACTTTGAGATGTGCTGAGAAGTAATTAGGCAGCTGGTACAACCTGTGAACAGGTGTTATATAACTACAGCTTCTATGTAACCAAGTCCTATCACCTAGCTGCAGCCACTGAACCATCATCAACAGCAGTCCCATGCAGACTACATTAAAGTACCCACATATGACATGTCAGAGGTAGGCACCATTGGACACACCTGAGAAGAGCCAACAATTCATATGTCAGAAATGGTGCTGAGTCCATTCTTCACCACAGCAAGTTGCTAGTTCTCACCTCTCCCTAACTCTCTAACTCTAGACAAAGAAGAAGTATTGAGAAAAGGAACAAGCAGCAATTTAGAGAAAGAATCACAGGCGTTACCACTGCCTTTTGTTAATTGGCTGTCTAGTTGGTAGGCATGAAAGTACAGTAGGTGAAAGGAACAGATGGTGTCAATGGCAGGCTCACAGAGTAAGCTCATGGGATGAGGGAAGCTACTTCCAGCATGAAAGCCTGGAGAGATACTGGATGTATTAACAGCTGTTAGAAACAAATACCTCAGTTTCAATATATTTTATCTAATTTCACATTGGATTAAAACAAATCTGTAAAATTGTAACTCATCGCCAGGGGGCAATATAGGATCATGAAGCAAAGGGAAGTAGAATCTAAAGCAAAGGGAGCTATGATTTGGTTGAAACTGAATCTTAGATGGCATGCAGAACTTTTTAACTTTTTAACTTGTTAACATGAACTTGCCATCTGCTTCTACAAGTGAATGAGCCTCCGGCATGCTCAACTCATGCACGGATAAAGGAAATGTTATGAAGACACTAGAAACCTTCTGTACTGTTTCATCACCAGATAAAACTAACCCTGCCAATATTGCTGCTTTGGAACTTTCTCCTTCAATGGCACAACTGGATCATTTTAGATTCTGCCTTAATGGTAAATTGGGGAGGGCATGTTCCTTTGACAGACATGTATTACTTGGGAGAAAGCACTATTTTCTGATAGAAAACCCAATATATATTTAAAGTAAAAAACTTAGCACTTACAATATAATTTTTTAAAAGAAATGTAAATGTTTGTTGGTATTCCATTATCTTCTAATCCCTGAGGAGTTAGTAGTAGTCAGTGCTGGGTTACAAGGTTCCAGGATTAAGGTTTAACAACACTACAAGCATCCCTTAACTGAATTCTGGATGCTTGGAGTGGCCTCCAAGTTTAAAACACTTAAAACAACCTAGTGCTCTAAGTTTAGTCTTTGTAATCCAAAATATCTGGAGGATGCCAAGCTGGATCGGCAGAAAACACAAGGATTCTGCAGTTACAGTTAAATAGAAGTTGTTATTTGAAAAACAGATTTGTGTTTTCACATATGATGTGCTTTTTCATGAACTACAAATATCAGATCTACATAAACCTAGGCAAGAGAAAGAGAGATTGATCCCAGGGACAGAGGAAGTCAGTGCTACTGATAAGACCTACAAGCTAAAATATTTGTGCAGATCTTGCCCAGTGTGTTTAAATTTTCCTTATGAAGTATGCATATGGGGGGAAAAAACCTTCAGCACAACTTCTAAAAAGAAATATAAACTATTCTGACTTACCCTACTGAAAATGAGACTTCGCAAATGTAACATGGCATTCAGGTTAAAGCCGTCCAGGGTGCATTGAGAATACATTATTCCCAGTTCTGTGAAGTGCAGCTGATGTCATGAATCCCTCATTTTAGAAATGCATTCCATTATCAAAGTATCCAAGGCATTCCCATTGGTATCATCTGCATAGGCAGTTCTTCACTTCCAGTATTCTTCTGACTAACTGAGCCATGTCCTTTGACAGGGAAGAGTGAAGTAATGCAGTGTAGATGTAGAGAGTAAAGATTATCTTGACAGAGATAGACCAGATCCGTTATCAAAGCAACGAGAGGAAAAACATGGCTTAAGTCCAAAACACAAAGAAAGTATGTGCAAGCAACTCAGGCAGACACCTCCCTAATTCATATGAATTGGGGGGAGGGGGTAAAGTACAGTCAGACTTGCAAGATTGATGTCAGCCCTGCTATGTGGACCAAACCAAGAAATCAACCCTGCATGAAGGCTAAAACTACATTTATTAATACTGGCTGTAATAACAGAATCTTGCAAGTCTAACTGTGTTTTACTTCCCCCCTTCCTTCTCTTTACTCATGTGAATTAAGGGAGGTGTCTGTGTAAGTCACTTGCACACATTTTTTTCTTGTTTTGGACTTAAGCCATGTTTTTCCTCTCGTTGCTTTGATAACGGATCTGG